ATCGTGGCCACCCCGTGGGGATGCCTCCCTCCTCCCCCAGCTGATTCTTCTTTAATGAGACGTCACTGTGGAGAAGATTTCAGAGCCATTGAAAATCTTGGCCTAAACCTTGTCAAAATTGCACAGAGATAACTTAAGATTTACTGCACACACACAAAATAAAATAAAATAAAATAAGGCAGCCCAGCAAGAGGCAGCCCTGTGACAGGACCATTTGTAGTCGGGATGGAAAAGCCTCTGACTTGTCTGTTTAAGCACAGCGGCTTCTGTTTATTTCGCATTTTCATGTCAAATGAATTTGAAAAGAGGAAAAAAGTGACAGGCAGTTTAGGGATATAAGTCACATTTCAGCTTCAGTTCAGATTAATGAACTTGCTGGAAGGCGGCGGGGCAGAGGCAAATCCACAAATCTTAGAATAAAAAAATTAAATTCTTCCTCAGCATGAGGCTCAGCCATCAGAGGCCACTTCCTCAGACCCTCTGCTGATCTGCTGCCCCTGCCCCCCAGAACCCTGGGCTGGTGGGGATGCCCTGTGAGCCCTGGGCTGGCCAGGGTATACTCTTAGGGCCCACCCTGGCAGGAGCCCCATGCAATGGAGCCCAGGGACCCTGGCCTAAGCAGCTGCCTGGTCCTATCTGCCACCCCAGGCACAAGAGGGGCAGAGCAGTCCGATCCCACACCATAGCCCCCAGGGCTAGACAGTACACAGCCAGCATGGCTCCCGCCAGCAGCTGCCCCTACATCCATGCAGCCCCATGGCCAGATGTCCGTAGGTCAGAGCAATGTGTCCACTGACCAGCTGTCCAGAGACAGCATCGTGTATCCTATCCTTTGAGGGCAAGAGTCCTTCCTGTCCTGCCTGCTACCCACAGTGCTGCCCCCTCTCCCAGAAAGGGGTTGCTGCCCTTCCACCCTTCACATTTGGCCAGGACAGCAGGCAGCCTCATCCAGCTTGTGCCCTCAATGCCCATACACGTCCTCAAGAGATCCTGGCTGGTACCCAAAAAACCCAAGAGCTGCTGCTCAGAGGCTTTAGCCTTCTGTCTGGGCAAGGACAGGCGCCGACCAGCTGACAGCCTGCAGCCACTGGCTTACTTCCAGCAGACTCTCTCTACCCCATCCCTCTATATCCAGGCCCAGAGAGAGTCAGTGACAGGTAGGAGATGTTGAATCTCTAAGAATGAGGCCATCAATATAGCCCCAACGCCTTTCAGCTTCCCCAAATGGGCTGAACTTGACCACTCAATAGAGGGTAAGTTTCCACTTAAACCAGGAAAAAGTCACAAGCAAAGCGAGCAAAGTCGCTGCCTGGGGCAGAAGTGTGTCTCAGGGACAATGGTAGTAGCAGTAGCTACACTGTGGCCATCTTAGGCCATGGTGCTGCCTGTGGGCTGCTGGGAAGGGGTTCTGGAGTAAGTTTCTGAAGCTTCCCATAAAGGGGAATGGGGCTAATCATGCTATACTCTCCCTTCTCCCCAGAACAGATGTCAGTGCCAACAGGTCAGGGCACCAGGGACCTCTGACCTCCATAGTAGAGCAGTAAGGAGCTGAAGAGGGATCCTAGGGGCTGTGAACAGTTGACAGGACCACTTCCCAGGCCCTCCAGACTGTGAGGGCAGCCATACCTGATACCACCCTAAGCATGTAGCATTGAATGGGCAGAGGAGGCTTCACCCAGCTCAGGGAGACAGGTGGCAGATGCTTGTGAGCCACTGGCAGGAGAGGGACAGCATCTGAGCATGTACAAGGGAAGATGGGAAGGGGCTGTAGAAGAAGGCTCTCCCAGAGGCCCTGCCCGGGTCTCAGGTGCCAGTCTGGTCGCTGTTTCCCATCCCCGCCCATTCCTCTCAGCTTGGGGCTGGCAGGGCCCAGCACTCCTCATCTTTTCAACTGCAGGCCCCTTGAGGTGCAGTCCTATCCTGAGCCCCCCAGATTTGGGCCTGGAGACTCTGCCTACACCCTCTGTACCAGGCACCTGGCTCTTAGGTACAGCTGTTCAGAGCTCATCCTTGAACGCACCACGCTCAGGACGCTCCAGGAAGCAGCCAGTGTAGAGTTGGGCAGGGGACCGCCCACCCAGACCCCCAGGGCCTCCCTGCTCACTGTCCCTCTCAGGCCTCTGCCCACAGCTCCCTCTGTGGGCAGATCCCCTTTCTCAGCTCCTATCCCAGCAGCTGTTTGCTTCTGCCCCTCCCCATGAGGTGAGGCTTCGCCTAGAACAGGCCCAGCACCACCCTGGGAAGGACCTGACTCCACTGCAAGGACAGACCAAGAAGCCAAGGCTCTGGTGGGAAGAGCCCTGCCAGGGTCACTGGCCTGCTGGGGATACCCCAGAACTGAAACACCCCCCACAACTTCCTCTCTGGGGTGATCAAATCTCCAATCACAGTTAGGTAGCTACAAAGGATGGACAAGGGCAACTTACACTAGTGTTGGCACTCAGCTGCTGGGTTGCCCTGTGTCACATCCTGTCAGCCCCCACCTCTTGCCCACTGAGGCATCCAGGATCACTGGGGCCCGCCTGCCAGTCCCTTCTGGGGCATCCTCCCTCTCAGACAGGGAATAGAGCTAGGGACTGAAGGAGAGGCCAACTGCCTAACAAGACAGCCTGTGTAACCCCTCCCTCTGCCTAGGGAGCACTGGGGAGCCTAAGGGCCAGCCTGCAGCTGAGGTGGGCCTGCCAGCCACATGCAGGCACCCCTGGCTCTGATGGAGCCTTGCAGGCAGGCGCCTAGGCAGGCACCAGGTTAGATGCAGGCCTCTTAGACTGGCCTTTTCTGCTGCCTCAACAAGCCTGAGTCCAGCCTATACAGCCAACAGCAGGCAGGCAGCTGGCTGGCTGCCATTCTGCTGAGAAGGCAGCCGTGTCAGGGCACGGGTGACCTTGGGCAAGGGAGACTCATCTGCTGGCAGCCACTCATCCCAGGGCCTCCTAAGTCCAGTGCCCCTTGGCTCAGCACCCACCCCCTCCCACACTCTCTCCCCAACCTCTCATCCCCAAGTTTAGGGGTAAGGTCCCCAAGGGTCCTAGATGCCTAGCAAGGGGTAGAACAGGATCAGGCTGAGGTGGCCAGGGAAACAGAAAGGCCCCTCATACCCTCCTTGGTTACCACATCCATCCTGGGGTAGGCTTGGCCTCTGTGTTCAGGGAGGGTGTCCAGGCCTGGGGCCATGACCACAAACAAAGCCAGGACCCTCAGTGGTGGCCAAATTACAGCTCCTATTAATATAGGATGGGAACAGTCAAGGGACAATGCCCTCCCCTCTTGCTGTCCATCTATGCTTGTGGTCTGATCCCCATGCCAGGGTTGCCCCCTGCAAGGTGGGGGCCCGGGCTCCACCCTTGAAGGGCAGGGAGTATGGTGAAAACAGCTTGGCCAACTCGGCTGTGTTCAGCCACTTGGTATTGACAAGACACCACTGCATATACTGGTTGAAAGTGTAAGATGGCTGCTTCCCAGGAAGCCATCTCCAGATGTCCTCGCTCAGGGCCTGAATATCCCTGCTTCTTTACAGTGACTCACTCCGAGACCTTTTTCAGCCCAGCCATGGTACTCAACCCAGCTGTACCCACACCTGGAGCCTCCTTGGCCCTCAGAAGCCAAAGAGAGAGGCCCCGCTGGGCTCAGCCACACCCCAAGGAGGGGGGGCCTGACGCTGGGGAAGCGCCTACCCAGGCGGGGAGCAAGGCGGAGAATCAATAAATCTGAGTCTCGTTCATGATGATCTGGGGCTCTTATTAAGTAAATTAATTTAAGTTAATTTAGCTCGATCACGACTCCCAACCATAGTGATTTAGTGAGGGGGAAATTGCATTAGGAAAGGCCATGCTCACCAGATAGAGGAACGGAAGAAAATTAGATCCACTTAGCACTGTGAATTAATATGGAAATAGCAGGTATAAATTTAACCTTATCGAGAGAATAAAAATTATCTTCATAAATTTGTAGAAATAGCCCCCAAGCTGCTTATAAATCTATTTAAAACAAAAATATTACAAAAAGTGAAGTAAAATTAATTTAAAATATACTTCCAGCTATTGCTCCTGGTAAAGTCGACAGCAGAGCTGCGCTCAGTGCAGCCTAGTGGTGAGAGAAAAGGCAGCCACCTCAGACAGCCACAGGCCCCAGAGTCAGAGATCCCCTGGGGTTAGCCCGGGGCTTGGAAACTTCTGGGCAGCAACAAGGACCCGCTGAGCAACCACTGTCCAGATGGTGGTAGGCCCTCAACCTCGGCTGCTCTGCCTGCAGCCCTGACCCAGCCTCTGACCCCCACTACCCCCAGGTAGAGGGTGGGCAGGAGACAAAGGGAGGGGTCTGTCAATGGCTGCCCTCCATTCACCTGCCATCCCAGCCTAGGGACACCTCCACCTCAGCAAATGAAGGACCATGCCCCTCATAGCTCTGACCTCCTAAGGTCAGAGGCTGAGCAACCCAGACTCAGCAGGCACCAAGGCCCAGAGAAGGCCTCCAGGAAGGCAGGTGCAGGCTGTTCCTCCCCATGGGGCTGCCCCCACTCCACCTGCTTAGACACAGCAGGCTGGAAGGAGGCAGGATACAGATGCAGGCTGAGCCACGGGCAGATGGGATGGGGCAGGGTGCCACTGTCCTTGACAATCAACCCATCAACCAGGATGCTTGGGCCCAGTCTCTCTCACCCAGAGTTTCTCCCTATGAGATGTGCATGGCCAGAGGCAGCGCATCAAGTCTGGGCAGTGGCTGCATCCCCAGTATGTACCAGCTAACAGGCTTGCTAGCAACAACAGAGAATGTGAGTGCACTTGTGTGAGTGTGTGTGCCTTCGTGTACATGCGGTGCACACAGACTGGCTGTGTATTTGGTGCAGAAATTGCTAAACAAACAAGGGCTACAGGGCATTTCCCAGCCAATGAACTGCATGCCAAGCATTCTCACAATTCCCACAGGCTCCAACCCGCAGTAGTCAGTAACCAGACAGCCCAGTCACCAGACTCATGGGAGCCTAGACAAGGTTCTCCTACCTGGACAGTGAGAGCCGCCGTGTCCGCCAAGAGGGCAGAGACAGGGGGAAGGATGGAGTGCTGAGAGAAGCCGGGTTCTTCTTGACAATACGGTAGCGGGTCTTGATCACCTTGCTGGTAGGTGGAGTCCGCAGGGTATACAGGCTGGATGCTGCAGAGAAAACCCAGGGCAAAGACAGGAGTCAACAGAGGTGAGCCAGGCCAGGGGCATAGAGGCTGCCCTTAAAACTGCCCTCTCCCCAACCACCCTGTTCTGGAGGACTCTCCATCAACCTTGGATCCTGCAGCCTCCCACACATATGTCCCATAGAGCCTGGCAGCTAGGCTCCAAGAGCTGATCAATGAGTTCTCCAGAAAGGCTGACATAGGCCCTGCAGGTCCTCATAGCCATGCCAAGCGGCGGGGGACCAGGGATGCTGCATGACTACCCATAGGGGAGCAGAAACCAAGCCGGCAGGGCTCAGCTGCTGGGCTTTAGTATTAGTAGCCTTGGCACCAGGTGAGAATGAGAGCCCTAGTGTCTGCCAAGAGGGCAGAGACAGGGGGAAGGATGGGGTGCTGAGAGAGTGCTCCTGACTCCCAGGAGCTTCCACACTCCCAGGCAGCAGAGTGGTGGATCATGGGCAGACACAGCTATGGTCTAGTGTGCCCTCCACGTGGAGGGGTCTGGAAAGTTCCCTCCCTCTGTGGGGCCCCTCCCGGCTGCCATGCCCAGATTAATGTACTTAATCACTCTGTTTCATAACATTTTGCAGGGGCGATATACACAACAGTTTTGGTTTTTTTTTTTTTGCTGAACATTTCATGCAATTAATAGGGATCTGTTTCACCCGAGTTCCCTTCCACTTGAGAGCCAGCAATCTCTCTATAGCTTCAAGGAACATGTCTAATTGCCCAGCTTTCATAACGTGCAGCTCTAACTGTCCAGATAATTAAAACTAACGGGGCACTGGACGCAGGCACCCATCCTGCATGGCTGCACCCCTCACAGCCATGGCACAGAGCCCCAAGCAAAGGCCCTAGCTCAACTCCACCAGACCATGCCCAGCTTGGCTCCCACCTGGGACCTCTGCTTGCCCCCAGGCTCCAGGATGTACCTTCCCAGCCTGGCCTCCTCCTCCATGGATGGGGCTGGCAACTGGTACTGCTCTTTCAACCCTCCCTCAGAGTCCTTCCACACACAGGTAGAACTTCAGTCTCTACCAGGGCACCCGTAAGCCCACACATGGGCAGAGCAGGATACCCAGCACAGCCTACCTGTGCCTGAGCCTACCCAAGATGGCTGTCCTGCTGCTAGCCACCACAGAATGTTGTGTAGGCCACATGAGCCCAGCCCGGCTTGGCGGGTGAGGGGGAAACCAGAGGACCCCAGGACTGGGGGGGCATGAGGGCCACCTCTGGTTTCTGCTACTGAAGGCCGTGACCTGCAGAGGCTGCCTGCCAGGAGAGACCACAGCCATGTCCAGGTGTGTCCAGTTGAGGCCAGGACCATCCCAACTAGTTCCCTGCACCTGCCAGCACCCCAAGCACCTCATCCCCTCCATGTCTCTCTCAGGGCCTCTGAGGGCAGCAGCCCAAGGGGGCTGAGTAGAAGACCAGAGCTCGGGGAACCAGGTGTGAGTCCCAAGAGCCTCACAGAGTAGCCAAAGTAAAGGGGTCTTGTGCTTTGAGCACCCCCACCCAACATGCCTGGAATCCAGGGTAGAGCCTGGAGTTCGGTGGGCACTAATAGACATACACATTGAAGTGAATTTTCAAGGTCTTACAAGCAAGGAGAAATCCACAGAAATCAACAATGGTTTGTTCCAACACAGGATTTTTACAATAATCCCAAGCTGAGCTCATGGCCTCCACTGTTCCTGCCTGTGGATAGCGCCAGCACCAGCCCACTCCTGCCCCACCGCACAGTGCAAGTGGACAAGCTGCTGGAACACAGCCTCAGAGCCAGGGCTTGGGGCTGCTGCCTGTCCACCCCAGCCCAGAGCACCAGGTGACAGAGGCCTCGGCCTGCTCACTTGTGGCCCCACCATGCTCCGGCCCCTCCTTCCCACCTGCCGGTGACCATGGCCATTAGCATATTAAGTCAAGCCTCTTCACTAAGTCACTACCGTCCATCTGTCAGCACCAGCCATCACTCCTGAACCAGGCAAGGAAGCATAGGCCCCTGTAAAAGGCTACTCCAGGTGGGTGGGTCTTCCTGTGCTTGTGTCCCTGTTGGCGGGCTGTGCTGCTGGGGGTTGTGTCCCTGTGCTGCTGCCCTCAGGGGACACTTTGAGGGGCTCATAGAGGAGAGAGTACAGTGAGTGAGCACCTAAGCCAGGCTCCAGCCCAAGACCTGTCCCACAGTAGGGCTACATCCCCCACAGCCTGGCACAGTCCCTGAATCTACAGGGTGGGCAGCTTAGATCCACTCAGGATCACTACCTGGACAGATGGGAGGTGGATGCACTCTGGGCTGGGGCCCCAATAGCAGGCAGGAGCGAGGGCTCCTAAGACTGCGCCTGGCACACAGAGACCCAGGAAGTCAGGGAGGGAGGGAAGAAGGGTCCCTGCCCCCAATGTCTGCAGAGATGGGAGGACAGGTCTGCAGGATGCTTTCTGTGGCCAACCTCAGGGCCCACCTCCCTGAGGACACAGGCCTTATGGCCCATCCCTCCTTGCTGGCTGAGGGGTTTTGTGTAGATAATCATGTTATTTAGATAGAATGTTGGTTTAATTCCCTTCATTACAGACTCCCAGGGTTGTAATTTTTTTTCTCCGCATGATGTATTCCCTGTGGCACGCTTCGCTCAAATCAAGCCCCTCAGGCCTTTATTGCCAATGATGCCCCGGCCTCGTTATCAGCCCCACACACACACCCTCTATACCCGCCATCCAGAGGTCACTTCTAATGACTAATCGATCTCATTAGCTTTCCTAATTAAAAACTTTACTACCGCAATGGAAGACAAACTACAAAAAAACTGCTGGCATCGTATCTGAATGGGCTATGAGCCCATCCATCAGCAGGGTGGGGGCTCCTGCTCAGGGCCCGCCCCACCGCCCCTTCAGTAGGGCTGTCATAGGACCAGAGGGGCTGGGCCCCCGCAGCAGGAGCTGCTGTCTGCAGGCTCAGCTCGCCCAGGCTGCCCCCATCAGGTGCTTCCACCACAGACAGCAGGACCCACCAGGCAGAGGTCAAGGCTCTCACTATTTTATTGCGGAGCAGTAGTTGAGAGAGAGTTCAGATTTTTATGGAACTTCAAAGGGAAATAACTAGGAAGAAAATGAGTTGCTAATTTCACAATTGGCTAATGAGAAAGAAGATGAAACTAGAACCACTACTTTGTACAAAAAACTGCCCGAGGCTGCCAAGCAGGAGAGGAAGCTGCTGTTGTCACTCCACCATCAGCGCAGGGGCCAAAAGGAGCATCCTGGGCAGCCGTCCAGTTCCCCGTCCTGCTCCCGGCATGCAGATGGGGGACCAGTTCTCCCAGAGAAGGCATGGAGAATGCACTGGAGTTCTTGCCCCACCAACAGGGACAGAAGCCTCTGGCCATACCCTGAGCCAGTGGCCACTGGTGCCAAGGCTCCCAGCAGTGGGCTACAGAGACAGGAGCACCGGGACCTCCAGAAACAGGCAGACAGAGAGCAAGAGGGGTAAAACCTTCCAGGTGGTCTCTGGCCCTTGAGAATGTACCCGGTTCTAGAACCCCCTTTCCTCAGCTGGACTGGAACAGCTCAAGCAGAGGCCAGAGACTGGCATCTGAACATAGAATTTGCCAGAATTAGCCAGAAAAGACACCCATGCCAGTGGAACAGGAGGGCAGGGCCAAGAGAAGGGAGAACACAACCTGCTGACGACCCCTAGAAACGAGGCCACGTTCCTGAGAAGAGAGGGTCAGGGAACAGCCAGGGGGCCTTGCTCACAGGACGGCCTGGGCACCCGCAGACTGAATGCAAGGCTGTGGGTAGCTGCAAGCCATGGGCACTCTTGTCCTGCCAGGATTTCCATCCCCCCTGCAGCATGATCCAACTTGCTTGGTATGTTGCCTGGTCTGCTTTTTGTCAGCATCTACCCTGACGGCTCTTCAGTATGTCCAAACTGTGCTTTCACTAGTGAAGGTGGCCCAAGGCCAGTGGAGCACAGCACTCACAGAAGCCACCCTGACCTCTGTGCCCCTGCCCTATATCCTGCCCTTCCCAGAAGCTCCCCCACACCTGACTCCCTCAGGCCCCCAAAGCCCCAACACTGGTAGGCACAGGTACCGCCACCTGGGGACACTCTCTCCTCAGGCTCTGGCACAGGCAGCCCTGGCCAGCTCACAGCACCCTCAACACAAGGAGCTTTTACACAACCCCAACTTGCTTCTCCAGTGCCAGTGCTCAAAAGGCCTTTTCACCCCAGTCTTACTGCACTTTTAAGGAACATCTGGGACTGGCACCTGAAGCACTAGGAAGGGCCATCTTGAGTGCAGGTGGCAGTGCCTCCCAGCTGCTGGGCACTGTGAGAGGCAAGTGGACACAGCCTGGAGGGAAGGCAGGAGGCCTTGTGCAGGTCCCCAGAAGCTTGACTCCACCTTGGTCCCCTGGGAAATGCACTGGCCCCTCCACCTCACTGCTGACCTCAGGGGCCAGGCAGCCTCCTCCAGCACCAACTTACCGCTTGGCTCCTGTGGCCACACCTCCACCCCCAAAGCCACAAGAGGGCGCCAGGGACAAAGCGATAGCTTCTCCCAGGAGCTGGAACTTCTCACAATTAATTGCCTAATTAGAGTTGTGATGACGATAGAAAGTGCTCAGTGGCACAGTGAGGTACCTGAGGTGGGTGACACCCTGGAAGCACCCTCCAGGAGTGACTGAGCCTGGCCTGAAGGGAGGAGGGACCTGGGGGCTCCAGGCAGAGGGGATGGCAGAAGCACAGGTGCAGGACTGGAGAATGAAGGGCTGCAAGAAACAGGGCAGTTCTAGGCAGGGGGCACCTGGCACTGTGGGGAGCCACAGCAGGCAGCTGCGGTGGCCGGGAGCTGGTTTCTGGGTCCATCCTGTGCCGCCTCGTGGCAGGCAGCATGCTCATATCTGCACCCTGCCACATCTCAGCCTCTGCACCATGCGGGGCCTTCAGCAGCCCAAAGGCCACTTACTGTGGGCACATTGTCCTGTCTCTCCCAA